GCTGCTCAGTTGCTCAGTTGCGGATTTTGAAAAAAAGGTGTCCCGCTTACGGAAGTGATTCAGCCAAAACGGGTAATCGGAAACAAAAAAACCAAAAAGATTCTTAAAGTGTACTGTGTACTGTGTACTGTGCATAAAATGAACTAGGATCAGAAAAAAATAATGAAAATTGCAAAAGTTATTAGCTTTTGAAAATAAAATTTCGATTTTCGCGCTTTTTTTCTTACTAATTATTTTCTCAATTAAACAGTTTTCAATATTTTTGGATAATCCTAGTTCATTAGTTAAAGGAAACAATTAGGAACATTTAAAAAAAAATTTGATGACGATTGGTTAACCCCAACGCCTTCAATTACTTCCGTAAGGTCCGAAAACGTGGTTCCGAGATAAACGCGTTTAAAGTTTTGGTTTCCAATGGCCAGTGGTCGACATGTGCTCCATGTAAGGGCCTGTAACTTTTGTAATATTTCAAATTTGGATCTGAAATTTTTTGAGAACATTTTCGGAACATATATCTATACGATAAGCCAAAAAAAATCAATTTTTTTTTTGCCACAAGGTAAGAACCTGCCTTAATATCCAAGAGAGTATTCAGAAAGTTTACTTCTCGGACGTTTTGTTTATCTAATAATAATCTTTAAACAAATATAATATAATTTTTTTTTTTAACAAACCAAATCATGTAATTTTATACTATAGAATTGGATAGCTGTCTTGAGGAAATAATTATTAAAGACCCAGAATTTAGAATCCGTGCATTAACCATTCTTCATTGTCATAAAACCTTCATTCCCATTATTGAATTTGAAAATGACTATATGGAAAAGTACAATTTGGAATTCAGCCCTTTGTTTGCTAGCAATAAAAAAAATAAAGGGTTTAATCATAAATACTTTGCCATACGTCTCAGTAAACGAGGTCGTGGATTTCCATCCTATACTCGGTGAAACCACGATCCTTATGGTTAGATTACATAGATAAGATTACTATGGAATGTAACGATATGTATGAGAAATTGAATAAAATAAAAATCGAATTCGATAAATCCTACAAATCTCTTTCTCAAAATAGACCAATTCAAGGGAGCACAACAAAGAAACATACTAAAATAATAGTAAACTGCTCGTAATATACATACGAGAACGAGAAAAATTAAATGACGATCACTGACGATCAACGAGAAAAATTAAATGACGATCACTGGTCAAAAGTATCAAAATTTTTGAAGAGGCTCAGAGAAAATCTAATATCAATAAAAGAAAAATTCAATTTAGATATCTCAGTACCGACCACTCTTAATACCGCCATAACAAAATCCGATGAAGAATTAACATTGGAAGAGACAACTGGCGTCGATCAGACAGAATCAGAAGAATTAAACGCGAAAATCAAGGAAGAAGATTTAAATAATCTTATTATCCCAGCCGTTTTATTATCAAACGTAGATAACACAACAGAACAAGCGCAAGCATATGATAACTGAGAACAACAACTTCAAAATGGCACAAACAAATATTGACTTCATTAACACTGCATCAAAGCTTATACTAGTTTTCGATGGTAAAGCAGAAAACTTAACCAGATTCATTGATGTATTACATATAATAGAGTCAATAAAAGTCGAACACGAAAGCCTAGCTGTCTCTATAATAAAGACAAAGCTAAAGGGTGTAGCCAGAAGTCTGATTGGAAACGAAATTACAATAGGTGAAGTAATTGCCAAATTAAAAAGTAACGTCAAGGGCGAGACTGTAGAAGTGTTGTCAGCGTTTATTCAGGCGATGACGAAATGGGAACTGACTTAAGCTATTCTAAGCTAGGCGCTTGGAGGCGCAGCGGAGACTTCTCGCGCTCGGGGAGTGGAGAGCCTGGACGACCGAGCGCGACATGCTCCAAGCTCCGGGAGAGGGAGAGTGCGGTGTGGGGAGAAGCTCCGGGAGAGGGAGAGCGGGAGAGGCCTGAACATTCCGCCCCCCTTGCAACCGCTGGCGTTGCAACATAATCAGCCCTGGTTGCAGGCGCCGGACAGGATCCAGCCGAAGATGGTCTTCTGGGCTACTGGCAATCCCTCGGCGACCAGGTGGAATCCTGGTTGGATGACTTTGGCATAGACATCCGCACCCAGGATCATGGAGATCGACGCCGGCAGATAGAACCGCTTGTTGGCCAGCGCAAGATCCTTGTAGCGGCCGACGACAGACTCGTCGATCGCTCGGATGGGGGTGCGGACGCCGACGCCGGGTTCGATCTTAAGGACGACATCCAAAGCAGCTCCCTCGACGACCTTCGATCGGAGGATCGCCGTGCACACCCTTTCCGTTCCGACCTTGGTAGTCGGCAGACGCAGGCTGGACGCCAGGGTGGCGTCGATGCAGCTTTGAGGCGAGCAGGGGTCGATGAGCGCCACGGTGTCCACGATCTTCGGACCCGCCTCCAGGGTGACCAAGGCCGTTGGAAGGACGTTGACGACGCGATGCTGAAGGATGGTTGCCAGCGTCGGAGCAGCGCGCGCTGCGCGAGTCGAGGGCTCTGGTGTCGAGGATGCTGAGCGCGGTGGAGAAGCGAGCGCTTTGCGAGTTGGCGGATCTTGCCGGCGCGAACGCTGCTGAGAAGCGGAGCCCCTTTTGAAAGGCTTGGAAGGCTCGGTGATGTGGAGCAGCGTGTGATGCTCCTCATCGCACGTTCTGCACCGGTCACCGCTACGGCAGTCCCCTTGCGAATGCTCGTGGGCAAGGCAATTTGCGCAGCACTTATTGACAAGAACTGCCCGTAGCCGCTTCTCCGCGCTCAGCTTGAGGAACCTCTGGCACCTCTTTAAAGGGTGGATCCCCCGGCAGACTCGGCACCGGTAGGACTGCGTGCCTCGAGTCCGCCTGCTCTCCAATGCCTGAGCGTTGGTCTTACACGGAGCCATTGCCTACGGGTTTTGGCGGTGGAATATGAAAAAGAAAAAAAACAAAGGAAGATGTTTTATAATGGAATGATTCGGGGCTTACGGACTACGGACAACGAAGTATGGATTACTGGAAAGAAGTTTGGGGAGCCTCTCCGGGAAGGAGAACAATTTTGGCTACTGGACGCCGGACAATGCCGCGCGCCGTCCGGATGTCGACTACGCGGACATTGCCATCGGCTCCAGGAAAGACGGAGTCGATTCTACCGAGTCGCCACTCATTTGAGGGCAGATTGTCGTCTTTGATGACGACCATATCCCCGACACGCATATTCTCGGTGGGACACTTCCACTTGTTGCGCTTGTGGAGCTCTTTCAGGTATTCATCTTTCCATCGAGCGCGGAATTGCTGATGGAGCGCTTTCAAGTGTTGCCCCCTGTTTAATATGGTCTTGGATTTTCCCTTTACTTCGGGCTCCACTATGGATAGAAGAGGGCCGCCGACAAGAAAGTGCCCTGGTGTCAACGCTAGAAGATCAGTGGGATCCTCTGACATGGGAGATAGCGGTCTGGAATTTAGACAAGCTTCAATCTTCGCTAGCAGAGTGGCAAGTTCTTCAAAGGTATATTTCCGCGTAGCTGTGCATTTATAGAACAATGCCTTGAAGCTCTTGACACCAGCTTCCCATAGGCCTCCCATATGGGGTGCCCCGGGCGGAATGAAATGCCAGTCGAGCTGCTGATGACTATACGCATCAGTCACAGACTCTTTAACGGCCTGGAGAAAATCCCGAGACAGTAATGTGGAAGCGCCAACAAAGGTCTTCCCATTGTCCGACTGCACTTGGCGAGGACACCCTCTTCTGGATACGAACCGAGCGAACGCCGCAAGAAATTTCTCGGTCGTCAGATCTGCAGTAGGCTCCAAATGGATAGCCTTAGTGGAGAAACAAACGAAAACCAACACATACCCTTTCGAGATAAGACATGCTCTACCAGTGTAATGTTTTATATAGAAGGGCACTGCGTAGTCCATCCCCGTGTACGTGAATGGACGGGAGAATGACACTCGTTCTCTTGGCAAATTTCCCATCATCTGGACTTGCAATCTCTTTTTGTAAATAACGCAGACCTTGCAGGCATTGATAACTGCCTTCACCAAGTTTTTAATTCTCGGAACCCAATATCTGGACCGGGTGAGACGTACCACCAACTGATTACCACCGTGAAGCGTTATGAGATGCGTGAACTTTACCAGAAGCCGAGAGAGTGAACATTCGTACGGGAGGATTATCGGATGTCGTTCATCGTAACGCAAACTTTCAGAGGCTGTGACACGGCCACATGCCCTTATCAGCCCCTCCTGATCTAGGAAAGGGTTTAAGGAGAGGATCGAACTGGAAGGGGGCACCGGAAGCTTCTGACTCAGACAGCGATACTCGTTCGTTAAATACCTGCGCTGAGTGCAGAGAATCATGAGCCGTTCGGCGGCGACAAGTTCCTTGGCCTCCAGACGGATCTCTGAAAACGGCGATTGTTTTTTGCACCGACTGATAAATCGCTGGACATACGCGAGGACCCGCAACGCTCTATCCAATTTTGAAAAACGATCAAGGAAGTCTTCGTTCGGAATATACGCTACGTGGGCTTTGACTGCTCGCTTTTCGATCTCGGTCACGGGTAGGTCGGTCCCCTGGCTAGGCCATTGGCTGCGTGGCCTTTGCAACCACGTGGGTCCATGTGTAATGGTCGCCTTAAAGGCACCATTCGAAATCGCATGAGAGGTTAAGGTACTTTTATCGCAGCTCTGGCGACGAAAAGGTCGCATGCGATAAAAGAGGCTTTGGTATTCGTTCTCTTGTTCTGAGAAAACAATGCAGCTGGAAATCATAAAGAGCTCCCATCCGCAAAGTACGCAGTTGTTTTTTTTTTTTGGTTTTATTATTCGCAGTTTGAGATTTTGCATAAATATTCTGTTAAGATCGGGTGGCGCCATCTAGGTTCGAAACTTTACTACGACCGACTGGCAACCTAAGGATCAGCTGTCCCTTTTGACAAATCGTCTGTCAGTGTCAGTGTCACTGTCAATTTTCCTTCGAGAGAGAGGCTTATTTCCGGCTTCGGCCCACCTACACTCTTACGGCTCCAAGCCAAGTCTTTTCCAATTGGCAGCCAACGAGACCAGACGTCTCAGTTTAAGAAGAAAACTAAAGGTGACTACCAACAGCAGCAAATTGTAAGTTTTTTTTTTGTCTTGAGAACCCTTCGATCGCTAACCAAAAACATAATTTAGATAAAGCTTAAAGCTCAAAGCTGAGGAAACTGCAGAGGAGGAGATTATTTGCTGGTTTCTTTTTGGTTTTGCTAGTGAACAAAAAAAAAAAGGAAAAACTACTGCCACGTGCCAGGTCCATCCAGGGTAAATATAAAAATATATTCGTCGCCTCAAGTGTTCCTAGTCCTAATTTTCTCTTCGACTTAAAAAAACCAATCCAGGGCTTGGCAGCGGAATTTTTTTTGTGGCAGATGGACAAATTTTTTTGTATGGAGAGGTTAAGGCCGTCCTGGGAAAAGTCAGCAGCCAGCGGAAAATTTAGTAAAAGTGGAAATTGGAAATTAAATTAGCCAAGAAAACCCATGCTTAAAAATAGTGCTTAAAAATTATGACTAAAATTCCCCACCAAAAATTAACCTAACACGTGCAGCCTGAAAAAACAAAAAAAAACAATTACAGTGAAACAAATAATATATAAAGTGAAAAATAAAAGAAAAGAATAATGTGCAAAACGAAAAATTTTAATATATCCATGTATATATCTAGAAAGCTGTTCTGAAGTCAAGAAAGAAACGAAAATTAATTTTTTTATTTTTTTGTGGTTCCCGACACACTGAAAAAAAAATAAGATAAACAGTTACATACAAATTAAAAAGAAAAAAAATGCTTACGCTAAAAGAATAAATTAGAGTTATTTAAAATCTACCTTTTTTTTTTTCTTCTGTTAAAAAAAAAAAAGAAAAAATTTAAAAGATATATATATATATAGAAATAATTAAATAAATAAATAGAACCTTAATAATCGTATAAAACAAAAAGTAAAAATTAATTAATATATTATTAAAGTGTATTCAAAATTATCATTTGTGAAATCCCAATACAGAGAAAAAAAAAAAATTTTTAGTATAACCATGCCGATTTAATCTTTTAAAAAAAGAAAAGAAGGAAACCAAAAAGTGAAAAAAAAAATGGAGCAAGAAAGTTTTGTTCCAGCCGACCGTCGCCAAAGATCTTTCGCCACCGGAATTAATTAAGTAAGTTTCTTTCATTATTATATTTTCATTTATTATGATTTCTTTTTTTTTTATTTGGTTATTTTCGTCATTGGTTAAAACTTATTTTAATTTAAATTATTATTTGCATTATTTTTTGATTTGAGCTCACGTAATTTTTCTTAGTGTTGCGTTACTGCCAAAGCTCGATATGTAAAGACAACTTAATAAAGATAATGAGCTTTCCTAGCGAGGGTGGTTTCAAAAGTTTCGCAGTCACTGCAAATTAAAACTTTTACTTTTTCCTTACTGTTTAAACTTTTGTTTAATTTTTCATTAATAGTTTTTCTTTTATTATTATTATTTTTTTTAAATTATTATTTTTTTCTCATATATTATATTACCGCATTCTATTATGTATTATTAACCCCGTTCTTTTCCAGCAACATATTTCCCTGTGCCATTTAAAAAAAATTATAATTATCTTTGCCATTTTTAAAAATAATATATTGAAATTAAAACTTAACTTAATACACTGAAAAAATTATCGAGTAGGAAAAAAATTTATTATAGAATTTGTAAACCTAAATTTAAATAAATAAGCAAGAATAAAAAAAAAAAAAAAAAAAACAACATAAAATGAAATAAATAAATAAAAAATTTTAGAAAGATAGGCACACATTAAAATAAACAGAAACACCCCCCTAAAATGAACATAAAACCACAAACATATTAAAATCAATCTATATCACCACCTTTACTAAGCACACACCTTGATAATAAATACGAAAATATTTTGAATAATGCCTTACACTTAGCAAAAATTATTAAAAGAAAAACAATTTGAAACTACGCATACCCACCTATATTTAACGTTTATATATCACCTTTTCGTATATTATTTAGAGTTAATATTTGTTAAATTTCTTTATATTCGTTAATGTTTAGGATGATAGGTAATAGACATTTAAAATGAATAAAATTTGTAATGAAGTGAAATGAATTGGTAAAGTTAGTTTTGATTTCCTGAGGACCTGGTGAATTAAAATGATGTGAATTAAATATTTTTGGGGATTTTCGACAATTTTTAATCGCGCAGAAAATCCAATTGGTTGGGTGGGTAGAGAGCGCGTAGGATCTATTAACATCTTTGATCCTCCCACAATTGACAAATTCGCCTTTTGTTCTGTTTCGGAGTTCAGCTCCAGTTGTCTCGTCTAATTAGGAACTCTTATTTTAAAATTTTTGTAAGTGAGCAGTCGCGAAGGAAAAAGAATGAGCAAGCCCACCCCCACACGCCGAACTGAGCTTAATGTAGGCAACCAGAAGAGTTCCGCCTGCTTCTTTCGATCCTCGGTATCAGTTTTTTTTAAGGCTGATTTGACTCCAGTATGCCCTGTCCAAATTTTTGCATACTGAGCACTCCCTGCAAGTGCTTTCTCACATCTACTACATAAATTTTTGGCGCCCAACGTGGGGCCAAGATCGAATATTTTTTTTGATTTTGGTCACCACCACCCAGGAGCTATAAGCGATTCGCAAGAAAAAGTTGTTTTCATTGGCTAAAGTTTATAGTTACGTACTCTTTTGTTTTGAGTCAGCATAAAAACATCTTTGCTTTGAATCTGATTTGATTTTGAGTTTGCGGTTATTTATAGACTTCTGTTGAACTTGCGTATTTGAGGTTTACTTTAGTTACCCTGCCGGAAGAATATAATGATCGAGGAGTGAATCAGTAAAATTTTTTTTCATATTAGCTTTGGTTGCTAATGGAGGCCTAACCAGTAATGATTTTTTTGTACTTCTGTTGAACTTGCCTTCGAGTTTACTTGAATACCCTGCCGGATAGTCGAATTTCAATTGCTGATGAAGCTTGCCTATATGTATGCTAAGCTGGTTGAAAAATTTACTCAAACATTGAAGCTCGTTTGCTTTCGTATTTAGATTTTGAGAATCTATCGGATTTTTTTTTTTAAATAAAATTATGTGCACAGCTGCCGTTGACTCTTGCGTATTTGCTTCATCGGATACCCTGCCGGTTAGTTTAGTGCTCGAGTTTGATTTTTGGATAAATTTCTGAGAAGTTTGATGGAATTTGAAGTACCTTAGAGAAGGTTTGAAATTTTTGTGAGCCTTGTTTAAGGATTGAGTAACAAGTTTGGTTGAATTTGGTTGTATGCTGCCGTGCATAGCCCAAGCCCAAGCAAATACATCAAGAATTGGATTTGATCTCATAATTATTTGCATTCTTTGTAGTTGCAATAGCCCGGTTTAAATTTTTTCAAAAGAGAATTTTGTCTTTTGTTGTTTTAGTTCACATTTGTTTAAATTCCCAATAATAGGTCGTGATCAGGAAATATTTTGAATGAATAATGAAGCCTGTAGCTCACAGTCCTCAACGAAACCCATCTGATATGGGATTAGCAAATAATATTTGCCCAATTTGCAAAAATATCTTAACAGATACCCAGTCATGCTATATTACAAATTGTAAGTATGTTTGCCATAAAACTTGTTTAGAACAATGGACAGAGTCAAGCTCTGAATGCCCAACATGTAAATTAACTTTGGAAGCCGGATCGTATAGATTAGTAGTAGGAAATTGTTCACCTCGCGCAGATCGCGCTGGTCCTTCTACCTCTGCTATGACTCGCCGCCCGGTGACAAGGAAATTGACAAAAGCTTTAAATATACCACAATTACCAGTAACAGCCCAAACAAATCCCCCTCAAGTGGTGCCATTAAACAATAGTGCAGCACAATCAGAATTATTAGAAGCCAGTCATACTACAAACCCTAGTGATGCCGTGGAATCCCGACAACATGCGCAGAGACGACGAGGTCGTCCGACAAATCCACGAAGGAATAATGGACCGGATTATACTGTTATTCAAGGCATGATTGAACAAACTTTGACTAGAGTCTTATTACAATTGAATGTAAATCCTCAGATTAGCCAAGTGGCCGAAGTAGTTACAAGTCCAGTTTCTCGTGAAGGTTCTTTTCCTAGTCAATCGTCAGTGAATGCTAGTAGGATTGCCGATATTATGCAGAAATGGAATTTAACATTTAATGGATCGGAAAATGGTCTTAGTGTCGAAGAATTCATTTATCGAGTGAAAGCCTTAACTGATGAGACATTAGAAAGTGATTTTCGTGCTTTATGTAAGCACATGCATGTCCTATTTGTAGGTAAAGCACGTGATTGGTATTGGAGATACCATAAGCAAGTAACTCACATTTCGTGGGTAGAATTCTGTACTGCCCTACGACAACAGTTCAATGATTATCGCTCAGAATTTATGAGCAAGGAACAAATCCGTTCTCGCAAACAAAAGGTTGGTGAGCCTTTTACCACTTTTTTATGATGCAGTAGATTCGTTGATGGATAGATCAGGAGTTAAAATGAATGAAGAAGAGTTGATAGAGACCCTGAAAAATAATTTGCTACCAGTACATAGACGCAAATTGTTTTTTGAGTCGGTTCACTCAATTGGACACTTGCGTAGGCTCGTGCAAATGAATGAGAATCTCATTCAGGAATTAAAAACAGTCTCAGAAGGAGTGGCGAAGCCAAAGTTGTCTTCTCAAAAACAAGTATACGCCATGGAAGATTTTTCTTCAGATTTAGAGTTCGAGACAGACGTAGACCCTATTAGTGAGATCGCTGCTCTGCGACAAGCAGGCCCAAATACCAAATGTTGGAATTGTGAGGTTTCTGGTCATTTCTGGGAAGATTGTCTGTCTGATCGACGTATTTTTTGCTACGGATGTGGAGCCCCAAACATATACAAGCCCCAGTGTCAAAATTGTTTGCGGAAAGCATCGGAAAACCGCCAGAAGGGCGCAACCAACAACAGCAGGTTGCCCCCGAAACTAAATCAGAACTAATTTTGAATTCAAACAGCTGTATTTCTCAACCTTTGCAACCTGTTTCGAAAATTTTACCACGAGACCCTGTTGAGATTACTTCTGCGAATACCAGCCCCTCAGATACTCCCTATGAGGACAGACTGAAGACTTATTTTGAGATAAGGGAAAGAATTTTAGATGAAGAGCCCCGTCTTCCGAAAAATAGTACTTTAAGGACTAAAAGATACTTTAAACAATTACGACAAACTCGTCATTTGCTAGTTTCTTCTATCTTTGGCAAACCATCTGATTTTCGCAGCTACGTCTCAGTCACTTTTTTGGATTTTAAAGAAAATGGTTTACTAGACACTGGCGCGAATATCAGTTGCATAGGTTCTTCGCTTGCAAATCAAGATTTTACTGTTTTTCCGGAATTTAAGCCCATCAAATCTCACGTACAAACAGCTGATGGCAGTTCACAAGACGTCATAGGCGTGTTGAACGTTAACCTGACTTACAAGGACCAGCAAAAGCCCTTACAGCTTTACATTATCCC